GGAGATAGTTGGGGAAATTTATGGAGGGTTTATAGTCCTAGGAATGAAACTGTAAGTGAATTTCTAAGGTTTCACTTATAAGTTAGATTGCATAATATGTGTTTTTTTAGCAATTTACCGGACGATTGGAAGCCGAGTGCTAGAATGGTTATAAACCATTTAGAAAATGATGATGTTAAATATTTAAACTTCGCTCGATCCGCGTTCAAACAGTTAAACCAAGATTTACCGCAGGAGTATTCAAATCTAATCAAAGTATGTTAAAAAAAAAAAAATAATAAAAATACTGTTATTGTATTGTTTTATACTTATGAAATTTCTTAGAATAATTAATCGAATTAATATTCGATTCACAGATTAAACAATACAGCAAATAATAATATAGTAGGCAATGGAATAGCCAATGCGTATCGCAAATTATCATTTTCTTACCAAAAACTCGCGGTATCTACAAAACTTTAATACGATTTACTTAACGATCACTACCGTCATATTATGTTCTTGAAATATGGTGGTAGGTAACACGTGAATAGTGGAAGAAAACTGAGATTTTGGTACGGCGAAATGATTCTCGTGATAATCTCTTACTAATATATTGTACTTTGCTACTGCAAAATATGCATCTCGAGAGACTACAGGCGTTTATTCTGGTGAATTTTTATGATATTACATATACCAAACATACCGTAGGTATAGGTAGGTAGAAATAAGAAATAAAATGCCAAAAATAAAATAATCTATCAATAAATAAATAAATAAATAACCATTTTGTGTTAGTGAAACTATACAAATTGTCTCACGATATTATTATAACCAAACGTACCTACTTTTATTTTCAGGAAATGATGGATAAGCCACGGATAAACGCCATACGAAAAAAGAAGCCTATTGTCCTACCGTCCTATGCGTATAGCTATGAGTATTTGTGAAAGAGCGCTTTATACTTTATTTCTCGTTAAATTATTGTTGTTTAGTTGATTACTTTGAAACGTTTTTTTACAATTTTTTTTACACCTTTGATACCAAAGTTCAATATGATCAAACGTTAAACGAAGGTTGAAATCATGGGAACCCATATTATGTTATTTTTTTTTATTATTGTTTTTTGTATTTGATTACTTTTTTTATATACCTTTGCTCTATGTTATTATTTTTTTTTATTTGAATAATTTTTGTGTTACCTTTTTATGCCTTTGTTAAATATCAGAAAAAAAACATCTATTCGTGTGTTGATTTTTACAATACCGAAAGGAGGGTTCATAATGCCACAATGTAACTGCTACAAAATTTTGACTTCGACATGAAAAACTCCATTTGTGTGCTAAAACCTGACTTTATAGGAAATAAAAAAACGGTTTAAAAAAATCAAAATTGTACTAAAAGATATAATAGTTGAGGATGATATTATACTGTATAAATTGTCAATATTTCATCACATAGGTTTTGTTACTTACAATTGTGTACTAAAATCACATAGAAAGTTTTTCAACGTCAAACAGAAGATTTTCAGTGTTACGTAGGTGGTATTTCACAAACGATTCAGTGTGACACATGAGAGGTATTGTTTTTTATTTTTCATTAATTCTATCATGAAAATATTATCATATGATAGGTTATGTTTTTTTTTTAATCCAGGAATACCAAACCTCAACCTCTATGGGAGTTTTTATACGTCATACTTATAAACATACTTATTCATATATACATATATTTTTATACAGTAAAGGTATGCAACTATAATATGAAAATGTTTGTTTAAACAAAATCGCTGTACCTAATAAGCTCGACCGATTTCTTTTTATCAAAAAATACAACGTAATATGATGAACCTCGTGAAAAATGTACAATTCAATATTGTGAATATTTTTAGCGGGCTGTTCGATATTTACCATCAAACATTCATACTCTCGAAATACGTCTACTCGACAGCGATTTTACGGCAAAACCATACCTAATAGACAATACAGATAAAAAAGTAGTATTACTTTGGTCGACATTGAGGAAACACTTTTTTTCCCTCATTAAACGAAAAAATATATCTAAAAGCAGGCCTGGGCAAGTTAATGAATTTTTTAACTAATTTAAGTTAAATTAACAGGTTTTTTTTTCAGTTAAGTTACCAATTAAGTTAATTAATATGGTAATCACACCAATTAAGTGAAAGATTAAGTTAACAAATTTGGTTAACTTAACTTCAATTAATAAGTAAAGTTAATTACAAGAAAAAAATAAAAATTTGTAAGGTGTCAAAGAGATTTCTACTCATAATTTACAAAACTTAATAAACATTACAATGAAAACAAATAAATTAACCTCAGCCATGTATGTTTTCTAATTTTTTACCCTACATAAATGTAGAAAAAAAGTATTTAGATAAAATTTCTTTGTTCAGATGGTTTTAAAATACTCAAATGTCAGATTTATGATAACTTTGTAGTTTTATTAATTTGTCACTCATAATGATAATATCACATAATAATAATTCAGTGTGGAACAATGACCAAATGTTAAATAATTATTTTATTGAATAGTCTTTTAAATTTGCAATTATTCATTCTAACACCTATAAAAAAGTCTTAATGTTATATTTATTAATAAAACAAATGTATTATTTTCAATTATTCCATATTTTGTAGTAGTATCTTAATTAATCATGTAGTATCATAGACAATACATAAACCTAGGTGATGATTCCTACAAGGTGAACTTATAAATGTAATTTAAAAAAATATATTTTTAAGTTCATAAACATGCTATGTCTATCAAAAGACAAAAACCAAAAATAATTTCTGCGGTTTAAAGTTAAAATTTTACAACAGACACAATACATAATAATAAAGATAATATATTAATATTATACTGTTTATTTAAAATAAAACAAAAAAACAACTAACTGGTCAATCAAAATACCTATTAAATTTCATTAATAATGATATCTCAAAATTTATGTCTGCCATTGATCCTCTTTTTTTGCTCAACAACTGACCTCCAGCACTGAATAACCGTTCCACATGTGCAGAAGAAGGTACGGCAGTATTATATTTAATATACATTAATATACAAGGATGGTTGGCATTTATAATGGAGATTTTAAATTTCCATTAGACAAATAATTATTGACCAGAAGTTTGATATCAACATTTGTATCAGAACTATTTTCCCCAAAACTAAAAAAATCATCCTCGGAATCACTATTAGTGCTGGGACATTCTCTAGACAAAGCACTAGATGTAGATTGTAGATTATATTCTTGAGAATTTATTTCTGTTGTTGAATANGGAACTTTATTAGATGTCACACTACAGTAGTTTATAAATGCAGGATATTCGATAAATGAAAAAGGTGATACAGTTTCAATTATTAGTTTTATATTTTCCCTATCAAATTGATCTTGATTCAACTTTTTGGTTGGTTGTACTTTACCAACCTCACTCAATTTTAGTTGTTTATGAGCTATAAACGTAGAAGAATTTAATGGTCTTTTTTTTGGCACAATTGTTAAATTCTATCAACTCACTTGGATGATTAAGCTGAAAAAACAACAAATAAAATAATTTGTAAAATATTCTAGCTCAAACGGCAAATACTCTTTTAAATGATATAGATAAAAAAAAAATAGGTATGTATATAAACATCAAAATAAAGTTAAAGTTATAAATGGTTTTGTAAGTATTGCATATTGAACTAATAAATACAATTATTAATGTCAACCTATTTTTTGATATAACCATGTAAACAGTTATAGTTTTTTTAAAAGATATCAACTTTAAACATGAATTTCAATGTATACCTACATATAATTTAAAGGTAGGTATAGCCGTATAGGTATCTTACTTTTATATGTGTTCTAAGATTTGAATTAGATAATTTAGAAGTAGACACTTGTTTTTCTTTTGGGCCACAGATAAGGCATTTAAATATTGAAATTGTTCGAATTTAAATTTAATTCACTTGACTTTAGTTGTTCGAAATAATTAGAAATATGTGGCCAGTTGAGTTCATTTGATCTGTTCTCTTCTTGGTGTTCTTGATTTGTACTAAAAACTTAAATCACAAATTTCTTTATATAAAAAATGTTAACACTTAATATTTACAATGAATCGGGTAGTCTTCGTTTGTTACACAATTACTTAACAGTTTGTATTAATTAAATATTGTTTTCTAATCACCATTGTACAAGATAAGGATAGTCTAATATAGCACGTACAAAACAATTACTAATTTGGTAATTTAGGTATTTGAATATAAATTGAAAATTCAAATTGTAATAACAATAACATAATACGAAGTAGACTATCAAACTATCAAGAAAAGTATTGAAACATTCCTAAAATTGAGGAACAGTAAAATATCCTGAATACCTACTATTTAGTTCAAGTATTACAGGATATATTTTTGAATACAAACCATATAGCCGGGTTCTAAAAACGTATATGGTATATGGACAATATACGTATGTATATCGTATAGGTACATGTAGGTACTATGATATGCCAACGTAATTAATTCATTTGTTCAATAGGTATTATTTTATACAACTATATTGATAATAATATCGTAATATTTCTGTAATTGATAATAACTTACTACTTGGATGATTATTGTCCATGTTTAATAATCAATAATGGCGATTCGTGTGACAAAACAAAAATGTTGATCGTTTGCGCTCAGTGTCCTTTGTAGTTGAACAATAACGCGAATAGTGAAATAATACGCAATACTGCAAAAACAACTATCAGCACCAACAGCCAACACGGTAGCGCCGTTTGCGCGGAAGTAAGCCGTAGGGATATAAGAAAAAATGTACAATACTATTAATACTAATACGTAACATATTTTTTATAAATATTAGATTTAGATTATTAGATAAAGTAGACGGCTACTATTCACAACAATAACAACATAATTCATGGACTCGTTGCTATTAATGTACTTACTGCCTATTGGCTATTGTAGACTCATAGTCATTTATACGATCCGAATATTGTTATCCCGGGACCCCCTATTATTGTGCTCAAAATGTTCCTATTATCTTTTAATAAAATTATATTATTCTTCGGAATCGTTTATTTTATTTTTGATAATTTTCTAGATTCAATGAACTTGTAAACGGACTTTGGATTGAACATAAATGTTTTTCTGGTTTTGAAATTCAAAATTAACTTAATTGATAAAAGTGAAAAAAAATACGTTTATTTTAAGTTAACCTTGGAGAAAATGAGTTAAGTTAACGAGTTAATTTTATCTGAAGGAATTAAGTTAAGTTAATAAGTTAACATAACTTAACTTTTAACTTAACGTGT